AACGGAATATACCTATATTTTCTAAACTGAAGAAACTCCCAGAATATTCGAAAAAACAAATTACCTTGAAAATCCAGTGTGTTACACCGGAAATAACATTGTTACATTATCATTGACACTCAGAGCCGAAAGAGAGAGAAAAAAGAAAAAGGAATATAGATTAAGATCAGGCAAGAAAATGATGAAGAAGAGAAATAAGCACGGCATTCTACACATGCGCACATATACACCCACACATACTGCGTACACACACAGACACATACATACACGTACACGCACGCGAAAGTGTACTCACATGAACACACACGCACACAAATAAAAAAAATCAACCTAACAATGAAAAATAAAAATAAAAAAATATTTTGTTATTTTTTTAACTTAATATAAAAATATGAAAATGAGAAAATTCCTGAAACCTCCTGACGAGTGGACCGAAACTCTGGAGTCATTGTACTGAATAAAACATCAATCAGCTAGGTGAAAACTTTTATATTTGTATAAATCATATATATATATATATATATATATATATATATATATATATATATATATATATATATATGAGAAAATTCAGTTAACAATACAATGAGAGTATTTAAGAATATTTATTTACAGTAACATTATTGGTTTCACAGTTCTTATGACTTTCAAAAGTTACATTGAGATAGAGAGATGTGTGGCTATGCAGTGATATGTCTTGCATCAGCGCAGAAATGCAAAACATATGACATAGTCACACATCTGTTCGTTTCAATTTAACTTTGGAAAATCGACAGAACTTTAAATAAATTTTCTTAAAGACTTTTACTCATATTTTACGCAAGTGGTATATATAAGAAAAGACTTTCTCATATATATATATATATATATATATATATATATATATATATATATATATATATATATATATATATATATATATATATATATATATATATATATATATATATATATGTAATTGTTTCGTTAAATAAAAATAAATTCAAGGGAAATAACTCACTTTTCTTAATTTTTTTTATCGCAATACAAGGGAAGTCACTCAGTGCTTATCAAACTGAAAGATAGATCTTTTTTTCTTTTTAAAATTAAATTTTCTTTGAATAATATAATGAAAGTACTCTTTTGTTCGCATTCAACTTCTAATTTGTTTCTTAATTATAAAATATTAATTAAAATGTTACATTTAATTTTGCGAACGCTTGTCTAGACGCAATTTCTCACCTTCATTCTGATTTGGTTGATTGACTTATAACTGGCAAATATGAAATTACTTTCCGAACACCATAATAGAAGAGATGATGTACTAATTGTAGACACGGTTTCTTACTATTCAGTCATAATTCTGCCTTGGTTCGTTGATTGTTTTCGGGGAAATATGAAATGATCTCCCGAACATATTAAGTAAAAAATCTGCAACTTATAAAACTGCCAAACTGGAATATAGGCCTTTTATCTGACGATTGCCTTTGAACGTGAAACAGACTGTCGACGCTTGGTGTTGACTTCAATGTCCACTTTTATATTTACAAACGCTCTATCCCTGATATTCAGCACTTTAACCCATAAATATAACATACTTTAAAGCTATATTTTATCATATATATAACAGGGTGTAATGAAAAGTGTTCGGCTCGACTAAAAAGCCTTTCCCCCAAAAATCATGTATGAACATTTGGTTAGATTTTGAGAAGATAATCAAATTGAGAATCTTTGTGCATCATATCTTATGTGGGATTTGGCATTGTTTATAAAATGGTTCTCCGACTCTGCCTTGTATAAAGTCACCATAGTAGGACACCTTGTAGGATTGCAACCACGACACCCGATGAATTTAATAATCATAGTGCCAAATTAAACTGAGCTTAATCTACGCTATATTTAACTGAATAGATTTCGTGACACAAGAGAATGTTTGCGATAGACAAGCTTGTTAATCGTCGCTTCACACCACGCACCACATGTGTACGTCTGTGTTTATATTTATATATGTGCACACAATTTTTCTCATCAGAATCCATCTTGCGCATTAATCAACCTACCATTTGACCGTACATTGAATATTACGGCGATATTTGCTCTGGTGCCTCTGCTGTATATCGAGAGATTCTCGACATAATCCAAAGAAGGGTCTGTAATGTTATCGGTCCTGACCTAGCATCTTGACCCTCAGTCACTTCTCTACCGCTGGGACTTCCTTCTGCTTTTTCTATAAATATTTTCATGGCAGTTCTACTAATGTACTCTCCTCCTAGTTAGTATTTTCATAGAGACAAGGAGATACTATGGTGGATGTAGTAAGAAAGGTACGTAAGAATGGGTTGTTTTGGTGTAAGGAATATTGTTTGTATGATTAGGCCAGTGTTTGTGACTAGTTAACTTATCGTTAAGACAGAAGAAGACCGTTCTCCCCCCCCCCTCGGGCTTGTGTCACATTTCTGTCTATTTATCAGAATAGATATTGCTCTTTGGAACCTCGACCGTGTGAATTCAAGCAGACTAGGTTTCATCATTTTACTGTTAAAATAGCAAGATGTAACCGTAAGTTCTATTCTAATAGTTTCTTTTCTCGCACTTCTCGCCTGTAGAACTCTTTTCCAGTTTCTTTCTTCCCTGTCATCAACAATCTTCAATGCTACGTCAATCTCCACCTTCTGTCTTCCTGAAAACTGTTCTTTTATTGTCCTTTCTCGTCACTTCGCTTTCACTGCTAGTAATCTCTTGCGTCTCCGTGGCATTATCGCCTTGCTTGCAGTGAAATAATGAAAAAATATTACGTACAAAATGTGTCCCTGGGCCTAAGACACGGATTGCCCTTTGGCAAGCTATGACATCCAGAAGCCACTCCTGCTAAGATTACGGTGAAGAAGACATCGGCTGGAGGATGATAGATGTACTCAATGACTAAATCTAACAGACTAGATTTGCTGCACAGACCTGCAATGGCGTCATGCAAAAGCTCCTTCAAACTGGACAATAGATGAAATCTAATTTGATTTCATTTGATTTGGTTTGTTTAACGGCATATCATCTCCATATGAGTCATTTAGTGACGAAATGTAATTTTCTTGGGATCTTTGAAGTAATAAAATTATGATACACGTTATTCTACTTTCACAGTTGAGTACATGGTAGTTGATACTCATCTTTTGTGCATATACATGTTTGTGTGAACTAGAGGCAGTGATATATATGTTTTGTGTTGTAGTTTTGTCGATGTTATATTTTGGAATGCAGTTTGATTTAAGAAATTGTCGGACATTATATGGATTAATGTCATGAAAGATTTCTTTCATGTTGGTTGGTTGTTTGATTGAGTTTGTTTAGTGGCATATCAACAACTCTATGGGTTATTTAATGCCAAAATCTAAGTAATTTGAATACAATTTTATTGCTTCAACTAAATATATTTTGAACGTAATTGTATGCCTTCAACTACAGATAAAATGTATTGTTGGTCATTTTATTATAAATATGTATTGTCGGTCTTTTTTTTAAATATAAAATGTATTGCTGGTAGTTTTATTATGAAAATGTATTTTTATACTTTCATAGTGTTTTGTTTTTGTTTGATGTTACATTATTTGCCTATAGCTGGGACCATTAAAGGTGCTACCAACCCCGGGTCAGAGTGGACCTGGGAACAACAGCAATTAAGAAGTGGTCCCATGCTCCTCAAACCATCCAATCTTCCGATCAGAGGCCTTGCTTCCAGATGTAGTTTATCATCATACCCAGGACTTTGGAATCTAATTATTCCGAGTCTGGTAAAAACGACGGGAGCACATACCGTGGTGCCTTGTGTATTTTATTATATGGGCGGCGTCTCAACAGATGACCTAGTTAGTTAGTTATATTGCATACGTGAGTTTGTATGATGCGTATTTGTGAACAAAGAGTGAAGTGTGTGACTTGAAATTCTATTCCTTGTACAGTGAACTGGTTTCCTTCCGTCAAGACGTCCAAGCACAATTACCATCCTCGTCAAGCTCATGATCACGGTTTCGATCCACAAGATCGGCTCCGTTCGTGTCATCCCGCCCCCGGGGCGAATCAATATAGATAAGAGTATTGACTTGCCACATGCTACGAACCTGTTGGGTCGGTTATGTCAGGCCAGCCAACACCAGGTGGGATGGAAGAGAGGACAAAATTGGCGACGCAATGAGAAACTAGTGTTACAAATGCCTGTCACCCCCAGCTCTTCCCTGCGACATTTTTGATACTTTTTCACTACTCCACCCGTCCAGACATCCACCTCACCGCTAACATCCCTGGTGATAAGATTATGTGATTATTGTATTGGAATGTCGCAATGTGTCCCCTCACCATAGCATTTCATTTGCCCTTCACTTGGTCGATCAATCAGTCTGACAAGTAAGATTAGCGCTGGCCGTGCGTCGCGCTTTTACAAAGAGAGGGGCGTTGGCCGAAAGCGAGAGGAGAGAGAGAGAGAGAGAGAGAGAAATGCAGACGGAAGTAGAGATGAAAATGAAAAACAGAGAGAAGACGGGGGAAGATATATTAAATGACATAGAAACGAAGAAAGAAAGAAAGAAAGAAAGAAAGAAAGAAAGAAAGAAAGAAAGAAAGAAAGAAAGAAAGAAAGAAAGTGATTGTAAAAAGAGGGAAAGAGAAAGAAGAGAGAAATAGCTGAAAATAAAATTGGTAGAAATGGCGTATAGAAGATACATAAGTAAAAAAGGAAAGAAAACGATACGAAAATTGGGGAGAGACAGAGAAAGAACAATTGATAGATTTAGAAAGAGGAAAAGAAATAAACGACAGAGAAAAAAGGAAGGCTATAAAGACTATGGAGGAGATAGGAGAATTTTATGAATTTAAGCGCAATAATAGATTGGCAGTTGAAATTGTAAGTTCTGTGCTAAGAGTTTCTTCTCTCGCACTTCTTGTATGTGGAACTCTCTTCCAGCTCCCAGCCAACTTCAAAAATGTAAATGCAATGTCAATCTTCTGTCTTCTTATTTCAAGTATGGTTTATTGCCATATAACGGTTGAAACACCGGTTCTCGTACGATCACTGAAGTTAAGCAACGTCGAGCCTGATCAATACCTAAATTGATGACCGCTTGGGAATACTAGGGGCTGTAAGATTGAGTGTGTGGGTAGTGAAATGGATAACGGCTCGAAATTGGAAATCGGATAGTCTAGCTCCAATTCCAGTCGGGTTCGTTATATTCACTTTGGCAAAAATACCAAAGTGATGACTTCACCTCCTCTCTCTCCCCAGCTATGGGTTAATTAGTAGGACTTGTATCAGTTAATTATTATCATCTCAAAAAATTCATAAAATCTAAAAATATTTTCTGGCTTTAAATAATCTGCAAAGGGTTGATAAACCGTATAAAACCAAATCAATTCTGGTTTTTTTTGGGGGGGTTCCTCTTTAATAATGTTTTACTTTTCTCTATTCTTTCACATAGGGTAAACCCTTGCGTCTTATTGATTTTATTGCCTGGTTTGAGGTGAAATGATTAACAAAAGGGGGTGGGAAAAACAAAGAGTGTCGGAATTGTAAAGGGAAGTAAAGAAAAATGGGATATAAATGGAAATAAAAAAAGAAAGGAAAATGTGTGGGGAACATAAACATAAAAATAAATAAGAATATTGCAATAAAAATGTTGATAATAATATATGATCATTTCACCCCAAGCAAGGCAATATAGCCACTAAAACACAAGGGGTTACTGAGTGTGAAAGAATAAGAAAAAGAAAAACATTATCAAGTAGCGAGAAGAATAAAAGAAGAAGAATCAAGAAGACAGTAGGTAACCATTGACATTGCATTATTTTTTTTAAAGATGTTTACTGGATTTCTTGTATATCTTTTCATTGTATCTGCTATGAGAGAAGAAAAAAATAGATAAATACTGCTGCCATATCTGGTCTGGTGCCCTCGCTGTTTATCTCGAGGTCCTTGACAAAATCCAGAGACGGATATGCAATGTGATAGGTCCTAATCTGGCATCCCATCTACAGTCGCTCTCTCACAAGACGTGGTGTGGCTTCCCTTTGTCTTTTCTACAAATATTTTCATGGCAACTGCAATGACGAGCTAATTTCACTGGTTCCCAAACTGCATAAATTTAAGCGTGCTACTAGGTTGGCATCTCGGTCCCACCCTTTCATTCTCGAAACGACTAAATATAGCCATCTCTTCTACTCCAGCATTTTCTTATCTCGCACCTCTCGACAGTGGAATTCCTTCCCTCTTACTTGCTTCCCTGATAGCTATAACCTTCACATATTCAAATGTAATGTCAATCTACATCTTCTGATGCCTTGATCCTGACCCCCGTCCTAGTCTATATCCTTTCCTCAAACACCCCTCTTTACTTCTGCTCTCGCTTTCTGTAACTCCTTGCGTGCTAGTGGCAATCATGTCTTGCCTGGGATGATATGCACACAAAAAAAGGCCAAAATAATTATCACTGTTGTCAATGACAATACAGACTGGCCAAAATGTGGCTGAAACTAAAGCATAATGTGACCTTAGGGTTATCTACTGAAAATACATGCAGGACCACCAACCCGTGAGTCACATAGCATTATAAATACACCGATATTTTGCGTCTGTTGATCAGAGTAGCCTGTCTAACCCTTACTAAAGAGTCCGAGGTTTTATTTATTTATTATTCTCGTGGAACAGTGTATAAAATAAAACTTAAATTCGCTTTGTTTATGGTTAAAGAACTCACTTTATTCGAAATTATAATACAGAATATAAAACAAAAGAGACTGAAAAAAAAATAAGAATTTTTCTTCTGTAATCGTCTGAGTCGAACAAAGAAGAATACTTCAGTTAATGTTACGCGGCCGTTTTGATGATGAATTATTTTCCATCCGTTTCACACAGACGAAACGTTGCTCGCCGCTCTATCATTATATCCATACCAAAATTTCAGACGACTATATTCCTTAGTTCCGCCAGTTCAGACCTTCACAGCTGGGACCCACTATGCTACGAACATGGTGTCAACTCATCCTAATTCCCTTCGTATTCCATTGGTAAGGAAGAAGTTCTACTCAGACAGCATCTTGCTCAGAACTGTCACTTTGTGGAACAGACTCTCGAGACAATGTTTCCCTGACAACTACAATCTTAACCTCTTCCAGACAAAAGTCAACAATTATCTCTTCCATATATCCTCATAATATGCACTTCTTGATTCTTCTTCCCTACTATGAATGGCTCTTGAGCCTTGTATTGGGTGAAGAATGGTATTCAAAGATGTTCGAGGATTTTAAAATGCAGAGAAAAAGAAACTGTGCAGGATTGTTAGTCTTGGATGTTCACTGGTCACTTTATATATACGTTCCTGGTCCGAGTTACGTAATTATGGCGTGTACTTAAATCACGTAACTAGTTTACGTTTATTATCAACAGTCAATTACATGCGTTAGTGACATGTCCTTTGAAGATACCATCCATCAGTTTTATTTTTTGGTAAACTGCGTTTCTGAATATATTGGGTTGTCCGGAAAGTCCATGCCAATTTTTAAGGGAATTTAAAACACAAAAAAAAAAAATTATGCCATTAAATATTTATTCAACTAAATATGAACCATTTTATTGCACAACGTTTCCCTATGTTTTCTTCAATTTAAAGATTCCATCTTCGCAGAATTTCTGTGGTTTCTTGGCAAATAATTCATTAAGGTGTCATCCAAAGAATTACTTTTTTGTTGCACTGAAATTATTTATCAATGACCTGAATAAATGAAAAAAAACGAAAGAGCAATGTCTGGTAAATATGGTCGGTGGGGTAACACATCCCAACCAAGCTGCAACAATTTTTGCCAGGTCGTCAAAGAAATGTAAGGTATGGCACTATCCTGATAGAAAACAACACCTTTCTTGTTCGTAATTTTTCTTGAATTTCTAACTTTAATTCGTCTAGTTGCGAGCAGTACTTTTCAGAATCAGTTGACTGGTTACTTGGTAGAATCTCATAGTACAAGATTCCTTTCCAATCTCACCAGAAGGACTGCATGACTGTGTGAAGAACTACGTTTGAGCTGGTTAAAGTTGTCTCATATCGCTTACCCAAGATCTTCTTCGCTGACCATTGTTGTAAATGATCAATTTTTTCGCACCCACCACAATTTTCTTCAAAAAGGGTGCATTTTCATGGCATTTATAGAGCAAATCACAGATGAAATGCGACCCAAAAGATTCTTTTCACTCAGATCATGTGGTACCCAAACATCGTAGCGATTTGAGTTACCCAAGCTTCACTAAGGGCTTTGGATTTTGATAAATTTAGTTTTTTCTGCCAATTCCCACGTTGTGCAATTCGGGTTATTCAATGTCTTGATTTGGTCGTCATCTGTAGTGGGGTGAGTGGGCTGAACGTTCCGTATAGTTCTGTTAGCTACAGAACCTTCACCGTACACAGCACATATTTATTTGTTGCTTGCGGGGCATTTTTGCCTTTATGGTAAAAAAAGAGCATCAAGTGTCTAAAATGCACCTTATAATCGTCCATTTTAATAAGGATGCAAAATTGGCACTAATTAAGTAATTTTAAACTTTCTTTCTCAAAAGAGAGTTTGAAGTCTGCTCTAATCGAAAATGTAAGCATATTATATCTGTCGATAAATTTGTCGTGTTTTAACGAGTTGGAACATGAATGACTAAAAATCGGCATAAACTTTCCCGACAACCGAATATTAAACTGCAAATGAACAGAGAAGCAAAAAATGAAGACTGGCTGAATAAAAAAAAAAAAAAAAAAGAACAGGCCGAAGATAACAAAAGACAAAGAAACAGCGCATTTATTTCTATAGTTGTAGACGTCAGGACATACGCCTCTTAATGCAAAGAACAGATGACGTTTAAGAGATGACTTCTCTGCCACCAGAATATTTTTTATAACCACAGCTAAAAACAAAGTCTTTTTCAGTTAAAACTTGTCCCGAATGATTTGTTTCTTGATACAGACACCATGGCGTCTCAAACCTTTCGTGTCGTAATGCAACAGGGAAGTGTTGCATGTGGGACAGATCCTCGATTACCAGAAGAGTTTGCATATCTACGGAGAGAAAATACTACACAGCATAACATGCAACTGAAGTAGAGAATACGAAGACGTTGGTTTCATGCTAGACACAATCGTCAGGCCACGGGTGTTGTTTTTTTTCTCGGCTATTTATATATATGGGTCAGTGATGCATTGTGGGTAGTCTATTTTGGCAGTTATTTTGCCGGAAGTCGTTTATTTGTTTATTTATTTGGCTTAAATTATTTTGCTTGTTTTCATTTATTATTTATTGTTTATTCTTTATTTTTAATTTTTACTTTTTATTTTTTTTATTTTAATTCTTATCTTATATATATATTTATTTATTTTTATTTTAATCAGTGTTTTATTAAAGTGGTAAAAATTTGTTTATATCGCTTTTTTAATAGTTTTGTTTTGGTTTAGGAAGATAATTAAAACTATTTATTCAATTATGGAGTTGATTGTTGTAGTTTATTCTAACTCTTATTTTGGCGGGAGGAATTTTTAATTTGTTTACTACTTCATTTATTTATTTGGATTGATTATCTTTACTGGTTTTTTCTAACGGTTAATTTATCGGGATCGGTTTGCTAGAGTGTTGTTTATTTATTTATTTGGATTAATTTAGATTAATTTATTTTACTTGTTTTTTATTATTTATTATACTGCATATTTTTATTTAATCTTTTCGGTTTTCGATTTTTAATTAACGTAGTATTTTTCTATCGTTATATAACTGTTATAGCGATGTTTTTCGTCCGATTTTTCATTTGATATCTATATACATATATATATATATATATATATATATATATATATATATATATATATGTGTGTGTGTGTGTGTGTGTGTGTGTCAGTCTTTTCATATCTATCTATCTGTAATACGAGAGAGAATGGCTTGCCTCCTAGCAGAAAGTAGGTTCGGCTGTCTCGCGTGTAAAGTAACCCAAAAAGAAAATGGCGGCTTTACGAGTCGTACATTTACGAAACGATAGATTTTCGGAGCCTCTTTTTTTGCACCTGATTTGACCTGTCACTCAAGCTACAAAATGTGCTTGACAGGCAACAAAGCAGTGTGATTGT